CAGCCGCAGTTTGCCGACCACTGTCCTAAGCCAAAGCTCGGGCGACATGTAGGGGTCGCTTTTTAGGGAAGATGCGGTGTTCTGTGGGTGTCATGTAACAGGTGGTCGGGAGAAGTAGGCTGCGTGATATCGGGCCGAGAAGACTGTGGGATGGGCTGTGGGACTGGCCTCCACTGTCCCTCTTGCAGGTGCAGCCGCACCCTCACCCCCACCCGCCCTGCCCTGCTCTGTCGATAGAAGTAGCACCTCCCCCTGCTGGCCCCGGCCACCATCTGCTGCCTGCACTGCCCAATGGGGTGGCTGCCTCCAACGGGCTTGCCAGGTGGGCATCCCAGGGCCATGGGACTTCTGCCCACGGAACCCCACATGGGGCAGGCTGCCCCTGCGCTGCTCTGAGTCACTCACAGGCGGGCTGATGGCAGCTCTCCTCACCCACCTGCACGCTTCCCCCAAGTTAGACATTCGTAACGCCGGGCACTTACAACCGGAAAACGGGCCTATTTATTTCTATTTTTAGACACACACACACAAAAAAAGCATGAGTGGTAGCAGTCACCCCATACCTGGTCCGAAAGTGGGGTTCTTTATAGGCTCGGCATCTTCCCTCTGTGGGTGTGGCTCCCGTGTGCCGGCCTTGCTTCCAGCTCCTGTTCAGGGCGGGGCTTGGGGCCGAGGAGGAAGGTGGGGGCCAGATGAACAGTTCCGGATGGTTTGTGAGTGGTGGTTAGGGGAGCGCTCTGCTTAGTTCAGCTACTCTCTTACTCGGGGGAAGATGTTTGATGAGAAGGGACCGCACGGTTGTTTTTGGCCCATGGTATCGTTTAAATTTAAGCCAGACTTTGTCATTATCTGAGCCCTAACCCTGTCAGCCAAAGTGACTGGAGTCCTCCCTATAATGAGAAGGAACATAAAGATGAAACATAGGACTCTGCACGAGGGCCGACCTGGTCTGCCTTTTGCGTGCTGAGCTCACGGCTAAGTTAAAGGGGACGGTAAGCAGGTTCCCCTAAGCCCCCTCGTGCTGTGGGTTGTCCAGGAGGCAGGTGATTTGCTGACCTCAGTACTGAAGACATGCTGGAGGCATCCTGGGCTCCCCTTCCTCCCGAGGACCCCGCAGCCCCCAACAACAGCTCGTCTACCTGAATCACAACACCAGTGCCGCTAAGCACCCTTCACTGGGCTCTTACTGGATACAAGACACAATATCAGGCACTTTACAGACTCACCAGGGAACCCATTTTGTAGATTGGAAAACTGTGTCTTAAGGAGGCAAGTCACTTGTCTCTGGACAATCAGCTAGGAGGAGGTGGAGCTGGAATTCTGGTTTACGTCTGCCTGGCTTTAAAGCTGGGGCCTCCCGCAGAGCCACATGCCTCCCTCTCTCCACAGGGAGCTGCAACCCCCCCACCCCCCGAAAAAGATGGGAGGTGTCGGGTGGAAGCTGAGCTCCTGTCACCGCCACCACACGGGGGGCAGCTCTGTGTTGGGTCAGAGGGGCCCTGATGTGCATTCCGGACCCAAGGAAGTCCTCTTTGCCCGGGTTCTGATGTCCCCGTCACCCCATGTTCGGAATCCAAAGGCATTAGCGTCCTCCACCCCACCCCCACCCTCTGAACACAAGGCCGTCTAACCTACTGGGTCATAATTCCATTTTAACACATAATTGCAAGATTAATGGGTTAATTATCATTTATTTAAAAAATCAAAGCATTACTCAGAAGCACTTTTCTCAAAGATTGTTTTGGGTTGCCCAGGGAGAGATCGTTAGAGGAGCAGAGGGAAACGGGAAAGCATACCACCTGCGAGCGAGGAAATGAAAGCTGGTCCAGGAAGCCCGCACGCACGCGTCTGGGCTGACTGCAGCCTGGGGGGGACCCCCGGTGTCGCACGAGTGCGGCCCTTGGGGCGCCGCCTTCAACGACCTGCCTAAATATCTCTCCATCTTCCTCTTTTCCGGAACAGCCTCCGTTCGACGGCGAGGACGAGGACGAGCTCTTTCAGTCTATCATGGAGCACAACGTTTCTTACCCCAAATCCTTGTCCAAGGAGGCCGTCTCCATCTGCAAGGGAGTGAGTGCACTGGGTTCCTTTTAGGGTCACAGACCGAAAGGGTGGACGGGCGATCTTTCCCACACTCCCCAGCAAGAGGGCGCAGGGACCCCGCCACTGCCTCCCGCCTTCACGGGCGAGGGCCTGGGGACCTGCGGGGCGCGGTGGGGAACGCGGAGCCTGGGACACGGGTTGACACCCCAACACCTCCGGAAACTCAGTAGCTTTAGTTCGCCATTCTCCCCCGCTCCCCAGCCCATGAAGTTGTGGTGCCGTTTAGCGGAAGTGATCACAGACGCTTAGAAAACGTTAGTTATCCTCCGCTGTACACCTCCGTTAGTGCTGTGCCCATTCCTCTGTTTTTGAGATGTAACACACGTGTAGAAAAGGGTGCCCGTCATCTGTGCAGGCCAATGAATTGTCACAAAATGGACACGCGTGCCCAGCACCTCGAGGGCTGCCCCTGTCCCGCCCGGCAGTCACCCCCACGCGTCACTGCGTGCACCCCCACGCGTCACTGCGTGCGTGCACTGTGCCCGTTTTGAACTTTGGATGCGCCCTGGGCCTGGCTTTTCCCCTGACACTGCGATGGTGAGCTCTCTCCACGGTGCTGCGTGTGGTGGAAGCCCGTCTTCCGCTCGGCCGCGCGGTATTCCGTCGAGTGGACGTGCCACCCTCTGTGTATGCGTTCTGCTGGCGGGCGCTCGGTCAGCTGCTCTCTGGGGAGGGGCTGCCATGAGCCTTCTGGGTCATGGGTTTTGAGGAACGTGTGAATGAAATTTTCTGCTTTTTCAATTTGATTGAGGTACAATAGACAAATAAAATTGTAATATATTTAAAGTGAACAACAGGATGACGTGATAGATGTATGCATTGGCCATTCGTATCCACGGGTTCCACATCCGTAGATTCAACCAACCACAGATCTAAAATATTCCCCCCAAAAAGTGACATGGTTGCTGACCTGTACCCATGGAGGGAGGCCTACGATGGCTGTGTCTGTACTGAACATGGACAGACTTTTTTTTCTTGTCATTATTCCCAACAATACAGTATAACTGCTATTTAGATGGCATTTGCATTGTATCAGGTGTTATAAGTAACCTGGGGATAATTGAAAGTATACGGGAGGATGTGTGCAGGTTATATGCAAATACTACACCTTTTATATGAGCATCCGTGGGTTTTGGTACCCACGAGGGTCCTAGAGCTCATCCCTGTGAACACGGAGGGGTGACGGGACCTTATGAAAGGAACCCCACAGTCACGCTAACTCATCCATCACCTCACAGAGTCACTCGTTTTTCTTCTTTGGAGAGAGAACACTTAATTCTTCTCTCTTGGCACATTTAAGTCATACAACACATTAATATCAACTGCAGTCACACGTTATGCATTAGATCCTCTCTCCTGCTTCCAGCTGATGACCAAGCACCCGGGCAAGCGGCTGGGCTGCGGGCCTGAGGGCGAGCGGGACGTGCGAGAACACGCCTTCTTCCGGAGGATCGACTGGGAGAAGCTGGAGAACAGGGAGATCCAGCCGCCCTTCAAGCCCAAAGTGGTGAGTCGGGGCACCGCCGCTTCCTGGGCCCCGGTTCCCCAAATCCTGTGGGGCCCACCCACCCTTTTCCTGGAGAGCGGAAGGCGGTGACCCCTGGGTTCTGCAGGGGGAAAGGCCAGTGCCTGCCTTGCCCTCCATCCTGTGTCTGGGCCACCAGCATTCCTGCTGACTTTGAGAGTCAGGACAGACGGGCAGCGAGGGGAGCCTGTGTCCACCGGGCACTCCAACGGGGCGACGGCCGAGCGCCCCCAGAACCGTTAGAGAGCCGGGGCAGGGCTGCTTGGTTTGGATTTCATGGTCCGTGTTCCTTGCTGAGAGGCGTTGGGCGGACTTCGCCGTGGCTCCGGTTGTCCCGGACTTGCCTGGCAGGCCATTGGCAGGGCCCTGGGCGCCGGTCTCAGCTTGGCCGCTGCCCCTGCTGCCGGGGTAGGGGGGGGTGGGGGGGGGGTGGGGGGGGGGGGGGCACAATGTTTTGGTGTCGCCACCCTTATTCAGACTGCTTCCTATAGGGGCCCACTCTCTTCATTTATTTAACAAATACTATGCACCGGGCCCTGTCCTGAGGGCTTTACAAAGTCATTCATTGAACCCTCACAACAACCCTGTAGGTCAGTGGTTCTCAACCTTCTGGCCCTTTAAATACAGTTCCTCATGTTGTGACCCAACTATAAAATTATTTTCGTTGCTACTTCATAACTGTAATGTTGCTACTGTTATAAATCATAATGTAAATATCTGATATGCAGGATGGTCTTAGGCGGCCCCTGTGAAAGGGTCGTTCGACCGCCAAAGGGGTCGCGACCCACAGGTTGAGAACCGCTGCTGTAGGTGGATACTGTCGCTCCCAATAACAGTTGAGGAAACTGAGGCTCAGGGCGGCTGAGTAACTTGCCTGAGGACACACAGCCGACAGGTGGTAGAACCAGGATTCGGACTCAGTGTTCTGGCTCCTGGACCTGTGTCCTCACCCACCACACCATCGCTCCACCTCGAGGGCTGCCACCGCCAGCTCTGACTGTGAGCTCCCTGCTCTTGCCTTTCTGAATGTTTCTATCTCTGGAGGTAAACTGCCTCCAAGCCTCCTCGCTCGCCCACCTGCCGCGTGGTGGTGCCTCCTAGAGGGCTGTTCTCGGCACCCGTGTCTGAAAGCGGGGTGGGTCCATGCCTGCAGCTCAGCCAGCGCCTCGGCCAGCGATGCAGACAGGGCAGCGTTATTGCACAGTCGGTTCCAGAGGCGGTCCGTGGGTTGGTTCGGCCCAGATCCGCCTCCCAAGGAGTGCCCCAGAACAGGCAGAGGGGACCCCCGGGTGGCTGAGTTACTGACTGGGGGGCACGCGGCTTCCTCGCCGAACGTGCTTACGTGTCCTCCACTCCAAGAATAGAACCGCGGGTGGTCAGCCCGTGGGTTTTATTGCGCCAAGGCATTTTTAGCACGAACTGAAGAAACACTACCGTTAATGAGGTCAGTTACCTTTCTCCTGAATCATCTTTCCGGCGGAGGCCTGATGCACCTGCCGCCCCACCTTCTCTTCAGCCCGTCTCCCTGCGCTCCCGGCTACAGAGCCTGGTCTGACGGGGGCGGGGGAAGAGGACAGTGATGAGTGGTGCTGGGGGCAGTCTCCGCAGAACCCTGTTGGGGATCTTCCTTTGTCCCTTTCGTCGTTACGTAGCCTCCTTACATGGAACCTGAGAGGTGCACTCTGACATGTTACCCACAGCCTCGTTCTTACAGGAGCAACGTAGAGACACACTGCCCCGGCTCGAGGGGTTCAGCAAAACCCACTTACCAGAACGAGCCGAGATGCAGCCCAGCCCCCCTCACACACAGCTCTGTCCCCACCGCTTTCAGAAGGGAGTGCTGGTTTGCAGGGGCTTCCCCCTTCCGTGGGTGCTCAGCCCTGGACTCGGACGTCGGGGAAGCGAGAGCGTGACTCGGCGGGGCAGCCGGGAGTGCAGGTTGCCCCTGGGCCATGGGAATCACTGGGCGTAGTCGCTGGCAGTGGAGCCACAGGCAGAGTGTGTACGTGTGTGTTTATTCCCGAGGCCCTGCTGTCTGTCTGGTTTGTAATCAAGTGCCAGTTAAATAAAAAGCCAGTCACCTCTGGCTGTGAAGGGACGGCCCAGGACTCACCAACGGGAACAGCAAGCACGGCCGAGGCCTTGACACTGACGGCTTCAAGGGAAAGGCCTGTCCAGCAAGAGCCCTGGTCAGAAGGAAAAGAGACCTCACGCGCTCACAGCCGGATTCCTGGGGCAGAGGCCGCAGCCCGCCAGGGGCCCGCAGCCCGCGGGGACCTGTGCGCGGGAGGAAGGAGCTAGCAGCGTGCAGGTGGGCGGAGATGGGGCCGCTAGGGAGAGGAAAGCACAGTGAGGTTAGGAGAAGTGGCCGCAGGACTGCGCAGCTGGGCAGAGTTGGCTCTGAGCCTCGGGTGCAGGGAGCACCACGCTGACCTCTGACCTCGTGGTGCCTGGAGCAGAAAGACCACACGGCAGAATTGGCTCTGAGCCTCGGGTGCAGGGAGCACCACGCTGACCTCTGACCTTGTGGTGCCTGGAGCAGAGGGAACAGGTGTCGTCCTGGCTGCAGAGGGCACTGGGTGGACACAGCAGCGGAAAGAACTGACCGAGGAGACAGGCTGTTATCCTACGATGTTGTCATTAAAAGGTCCAAAGAGTTTACGGAGAAAATACAGGCGGTTTTGTTCCTGCAAAGATGCGGCAATACCAGCCGCGCTGTTGCTGCTGGAAAAACCAATCCGCTGCCACACTGCGGCCAGAGGCTGACTTAGCCCGTGCAGCCAGCCCCTCCCAGAGCCCCTCTCCTGCGTCCAGCCGGCAGCCCTGGTGGATGGAGCTCGTCCCTCTTGGAGTTTGCCCGGTGCTTTTGGAGCAAGCGCTGGCGACTCAGTTTCCCTGAGGCTGAGCAGATGAAGGATCTCGCTCCTGGCTCCCCGTGAGCTCGAGCCTTTGGGTACTGCAAAGGCCTCAGTAACACCCCAATCCCCACGTTACCCAGGGGGCCGCTGGGGGTCGGTGTTTGGTATATTTGTTATTTTCGTCTTTGTTATATTTGTTATTTTTGAACCTCCAATGAAAGATGATCCCCAAATCCCTGACTTCCCTAAGCGAGCAGAGCTCATCCGGAGGAACCGGGTTCCCACGATGCCCCATTTTTCTTCATCTTCCTGCTGACCACAGTCACATTGCTGAAACAACCACAGTCACATTGCTGAAACAAGACCCGAGGGCCCGGGAAGGCGGAGACCCACCGATAGGGACACATGTGTGCGGTGGATCCATCCACAGGCTCCAGGCAGGACTTTCCATGGCACAGTGACGTGACGGTCGGGACCTTCAGTGAGGCCGTGGCCTGGATTCTCTGTCTTTTTTGTAAAATAGTTTTTTAATTGATTTTTAGAGAGAAAGAGAGGAAGGATGGAGAGAGAGAGAGAAACATAGATGTGAGAGCAACTTTGATCAGCTGCCTCACCAGGGACCGAGCCCACAACCCAGGCATGTGCCCTGACCAGGAATCAAGCTGGCCGCCTCCCTGTGCATGGGACGACTCGCAACCACCTAAGCCACCGGCCAGGGCCTGGGTTCTCTTTAAGGCCGCACATAAGGTGGAGCAGAGGGAGAAGAGCGACCGAGTCAGGTGTGGGACGGTGGCCGTCTCCCCCGAGGGTGGCGGGTCTGGAGCTCGCACCCAGGCACCGGGGGGCTGTGGGGAAAGGCTCAGCCAGAAGGGACAGCCTGCACGCGGCGGCCCATTGTGGGGAGGCCCATGCCCCAAAAGGCCCCCACGTGCACTTGTGACGGTGGAGGCGATTTTCAGGAGTGAGGGATGGTCGCTGTGACCTGGATGGTTTTGTAAATTAAAAGCAGGAACAGAAACAGCCATTCTGCCCCCCTGGAGATGAGGCCGCACAGAACTCTCCTTCGTTATAGAAAAGGGCAACAGCAAGCTGCTCTCATTTCCCTCCGAGGAACCCAGCCCAGAGGAGCCTCTGCCACAGGCGCCCGACCGTCCGCTCAGCATTTGGCTGGTGTTCTGAGCAAAAAACGCAGAGTCATAAAAAACCGGCCGCATCAGAAGATCCCACGGAGGAAGGTGCCTTTTTATTTTTAGGTTTAACAAAAAGGTCACTCAAGCAAAGGTGAATATTTAATTTCTGAAGGGGACACACGCACGCAGGCATGCACACGTGTGCACGCTTATGTTTTTCTGAATCATTGGAGAGTAAGTGGCAAACCTACTGCCTCTTCATATCTGATGCCTATAACGAAGGGCACTCCAGGCCCGTGTCCTGCCCCTGTCCCGGTGGGGCGCCCCCAAGGGGCTGTCTGAGCCATCACATGGAGGGAGCCTGGGCTGCGTCCAATCAGGTCCCGGGCAGCGGGAGGTGCATTGTCCTGGCCTCTCCGTGGAACCGGCAGCCATGACACTAATTAAAGGTGAGAGTCCCGGGATGCGGGGAGCTTCGCCAGCACTGTAGGAACACGCACAGCCGTCGGGGCCAGAGGTTCGGCCACATCCTGACGCACGAGGGCACATAGAAGCCTTCGACCAGCCTACGACAGCATCTTCTACTTGGCTAATTAGAGGCAAGAAGGCTTCCTTTTCCTGGATAATTACTCTCCCAGAGACGTTTCTGCTGGAAAGAGATGCGGGGAGCAGTGTGGCCTTTAGAATAAAGACCCACAGAGGCCAGCAGGTCTGTAAGCCTCCAGGAGCTCCCGTGGGAGTGGTGGGCGCGGCGGGCCCTGTGTGCCTGGCGTCATGCAAGCAGACAGGCTCCCAGCATCTGAAGTAAAGGCTGCAACGCAGTGGTCACTGCAGCAGCCTTTCTCGGGAAAGGAGCCAGATCAGCTGGAGCCGGCCATTAGTATAAGGGAAGGCCAGCCCGGCCAGCGGGGCTGATGTTTGAACATCGACCTATGAACCAGGAGGTCACAGTTTGATTCCCAGGCACATGCCCAGGTTGTGGGCTCTATCCCCA